ATGAATTACGACAGACGATACTACCAAAAACATCCATCGTAGGTCGTCGTATTCCTCTCGTGTAAGACAGTATACGACTAGTATTCATGTCGTATACGACCGTATACAACGCCGTATTTTTCAACCTCGGCTGAAGTGTTTTTTTTTCTATATGAACAAATTAAGCTGATTGGAACGTGCCTATCAACATACTTTGTTCAATATGCAAACAATTATAAAATGGTAAACTAAATATTATTGATGTACTACTAGCTGTCATATTCGGTTAATTATAATTTGAAACCATTTTTGATTTATTAGCATTAACATACAATAACTGTGCTAATTCTAATTATCTAATAAATTTTAAAATCTGAAAAGAAAAATCATTAAAATGAAATTTCTACGATTTAAATTGAATTATACATCATACCAAGTTTCACTAAGATAATTTACATCAGTTTGTGCAACTGATATTAATATTTTAAGATATTTAACATTTTTAGCTTTTACTTCCATAACTTGAGATATTATATTAAGTATTGAAAAACGCGATAATGCTTGAATAAATGCATTACGGTCAAACTAAATTATTCGATAAAGAAAACAAACTAATGAATGACTGAGCTTAGTAAATCATCTTTTGATCACTTAATAGATTTTCGATGTGTCAAAAAAGCTCTACTATTCACAATATGCACCTGTTATTTTTCAAAAACAAAAAAAACATAGTACAAAACTCTACTCAATACATCGAACATGATTATTTCTTAATATGCAATAAGTTTCTTCTTTTCTGTTTCAGCAAATAAAGAATCATAGTTTTCGACTTTATCCTACTACTTATGATTGCAAATGTCATCCAATACATGAAAATCCAAAACAGTGAGTTCAGCAGTATTTAATCTATGAAATTTTTTACGAGTTTTTGGAACTTCTGATATTGCCATACAACTTGAAAAATCTCTTAGATGGTTTTCCGACAGTAGGAGTTGCTGAAAGAAAAACACCGATCTAAAAGGATTGTTGTATTATAGAAAGAAGAATTTGAATATATTCTTCAATTGATTGTGTATCGATAGCGTCTCATTAATTAACAGCATAGAAGCATTCGATAAGAAAACTGTTTAATCAAAAACTAATCTTGTTCACAGCGTAAAATAGCATTTCATCTCTTTATTTCTAAACAAAAGAGGGTGTGGATGTGGGTGTACCTCTTCTTCTACCTCATGCCAACACCCACACCAACACCCTCATGCAATTGTTGATTGCATTATTGACGATGCGCTTCTCTTTACCACGTTCATGAAACCAGGCATGGTCAATGTTCTCAAAACATTCGATTCTCGATATCAACACCCAGTCGATCTACCATTGCTTCGCGCGTGGGTGATGCTTATTACAAATATGTCGATCAAGTGAAGGTAGATTGCTGACAGGAAAGAAAACAATATCTTATATCAACAATTTATGAGCCAAGTTTCTGTTTTTCTCGTATGCTAATAACACAAGAAATGAGGATTTCTAACTGGTATAAGTTCATTAGGGCGAAGAATTCACTTTGACTTGCCTATTCTTCTGTTTGATTAGGCTTGTGCGGTTCGACGCTCACATTCGATGTGAATGCAGTTCGAAGATAATGAAGAAAGAGTAGAAAGTCCATCATACTCAATAAAAGTAGTGTTTTTCACGCAGACATCTCTCGAAGGATAATGCGAACGTTGTATAAGAAACTCGAAGAACATCGAGATAATCTTTTTTTAGTCTATGCCAATAATTTCAGAAACAATGCAAGAATCTCATTTGTCTCTTCTTCAAGCTGTCCTCAAATGTGCCCCAGACCTCGCCTTTACTGTTGATATTTGAAAGAGTGGCACCCGCAAATATTACATTTCATTGACTGCGCATATTTTCGATGAAGATTTTGAACCCATGCCACTTGTGCTATCTCTGAGACAACTAACTGAACGTCATCTCGTCGTCAATGTTCAATCATTTCTCAAATTTGAGCTTGATCAGAAGTTTCAAATTATGCCCATACAAAGAGCTGGAATTACGACCGACTGTGGAGGCGAGATGGTTGCGGCCACATCGAACGGTTTATTTGGTCCTCGATACGCTTGTGTCGCTCACGAGTGGAACAATGTTGTCAAAAATGGATTTTGTTTATGGTCACCACCGAACGCTGACAAGTACGCTATTCCTTTCGTGTGTAAGAGACAAAGAGTCAACATTTTTGACTCATAATCTATGCCAATCAAAGAAGAAAGCAAGTCCAACAGAAAATGTTCCTATGTTGATCGAGAAACGACATTTGAACTTTTCTTTACAAATTATCGAAAGAAGAGATCTCCAGGCTCAATGAGAAGATTCATTTCTCAGTTCACGACGAGTGTCAGCTGAAAAACTTCGGAAACTACTTTAGATTGGTGAGGGGACCGGTATTTATGATATTCTCGAGTCGGATACTATGCATTTTGTTTCGCCGATTCGTGTTGTTTCAGCAATTGAACGAAATATACGATTCATTATTAAAACCTGTATTCCACAGGCGAACTTAGCCGATTATATTCAAAGTAAAATACGAATAACTGCTTGCGTTAACCTTATCCATGACCACCGTGAGTTCTCGTGACTCACGGTCGTGACCGAAAATTCTTGGTCACGACGATCCCTAATTGCATTGGATGTGAATGATTAGTTGACAAGTTAAACGGTCGCCGTAAATCAAATTCGAGAATATATTACCAAAGCGAACGATGATATCAATGGATAAAATGCAGCTATTCAAAATTATTCTTCTTAGTGTAGGTCTATTCCTGATTATCGATCTTTATTTTTCATCTCTGCTGATTTCAATCCTTCTGTATTCTTGGCTTTTTAGATATGAGAAATAAATTTAGAAAAAACAGCGAGGGAGAGAGAAGAAAAAAATGAAATAACAATGGTAAGTGATGTGAGTAGAATTGTCCTGTGGTGTGTGACTCTATTATTGAAGTACCAATGCAACCTAAACGAAAAAACATAAATCACTATATGAACATTGAAAACGTAAAACAAACTTTTTCGGCAGGCATCAGTGGACATTTCCAATTGTAGATGTAATATTGAATATTACCATCACCGACACCAAATTTAAGTTTTTCTAAAAATTCCTTATTATCCATTATATCGAGCGCATTGAACACATCGAAATCACTCTTGAAAAAAAATCATTATGAAAATGGAAAAAAACGTTCGTTTACTCCTTACATTGTGTGCTTGTACAAGACAGTCATTGACGAGATCGGTCAGTGGTGTTCGACTGGCAGCATAATAATACATATAGCATGAATTCAATATCTTGTATTGTGGATGATTCAGAATTGTCGATGGTAAATGATAGTACGATATGAAATCGGTTATTTCACCTTGATCATTCTATCGAGAGGAAAAATACAATCATATAATGAAAAGAAAAAAAAAATAATGATGAGAGTTTTTTTGTTACTTCAACAACAAATGCGCTCACGATGGTCGGCCGACTTTTACATAAATATTCAAATTCATCAAGGGAAAATACCGGCGCCAAGTCGAATTTTGTCAGATACTAATTGAGGAATGACATAGGACAAAAAAAACCAACGTAAGAGAAAAGCGACGTACTTGAGTGAGTAATCTCCAAGCTTGAGGTATATCAGCATCGCGCATCTCGCGAAATCCTGCCACTTGTGTCGTCTAGTTGAAGAAAAAAACACCGAAAAATTGACTTAGAAAACAATGCACATTAGAGTTTCGTCTGTGATCTACAAATCTTTCTTGAGAATCACACAAATCGACTGTTCGATTCGTCTTTAAAATTCATCGATATATGCGTATCAGACGCTAAATTACATTGACAGGTAACATTTGATGTATGCAGATGTAGTTTTTGATGGATGGTGTTTAAAAACTACATGAGTGGCTTAACTTCGACAGAATCAACGGAATCGATTGAAAAGTATTTCAAGCCGAATGATTATACTACCGATTCCGAGCACTGTTCGAATGATACTATTTATTTTAAAGTAAAATCGACTGAGCTCAAGATCGATTTGCTCTGCTGTCAATGTACGTATCATTCACAATTATCGAAGTTTTGTCCATCTCTGAAAGAGAAAGCATGTCGAAACTGAAAAAGTCTAAAACGGCTAATGTTGAAAAGGATATATCGCACATGAAAATTTTGTATTTGGAAACGATACTTATTGTTAAGAAACAAAAATAAGTATCTCTCTTCGGCATTCTCCACTATTCCTTCACATCGGAGTGGTTCGTGGTCAGACAGACAGCATTTTGGAAGCGTAATCATGGCAACTGCTCTTAGTCAATATTCGAATGAATCATTCGTTTGTCTCGTTTTTTGTTGTAAAATATGATGACTGTACACATAAAACAAGCAAGAAATGACCAATTGTATCTTGATTAAAATTGTTAATAGCTACACTTTTAAAAAATGGGTTCGATGCAAAATCTAAAAATATTTTTCTCACAGATATCCGGAAAGAGTCTCTCTAGATTTCATGCGAAATTTTTTTAAGGATTGATATAAAATCTAACAAGATTGTTCACATGTGCCAATAGGAGCTATAAATTTTTCTATTTGAATTCCAACCGTTTCAGTTAATTCTCGTCCGATAGGAATGGACATTTGGGAAAATATCACTTGGAATTCCAACCAAGATGTATCCTTTTTTTTATCAAGATAGTCAATTTTTCTAGAAAATCGTTTGCAAAATTAGAAGTATCTTTCTTTAAAAAACTATTATTCATTTCAAAATAGAAGAGAGTTGAGTATTTTTTGAAAAGTCAAG